TTACTACCTGATTAGTGCAATTTGAGCGTTTGGTTTTCAAAACAAAAACTTCGATTTCATTTACATTGTTGTGTAAAGTAATGCGATGCGATGCGATGCATGTACAAACAAAACAATTTTTCAACAAAAAGGCTGTTTTCATTCCGTCATAGTTTCTTTTCACAAAAGAGATTGGTTTTAAACCAAATCTGCCTAACGCAGTACAATGTGCAAAACTACTAGTAAAAAGGAAAATAAAACAAAAGAGGATCAGCATCTGAAGTAGCAAAATGTCAGGATCAGCGCCAGTGGCCTCAAGTGCGGGAACCCATCCTGGTCCTCTTCCTGGACGAAGGTCCAGGACCTCCACCGTCAGCATCCGACTCTGAATCTGACTGAGGACTCATCACCTCCTCGCCAGACTCATCATCATCAGGGGCAGGCCCTCGTGAACTAGTCCCTCGTCCTGCTCCCTCTGCTGCTTGAGGAGGTGCTGAAGGACCCACCCCTGCTCCTGCTGGAACACCCGATGGGCCTGGCGGCAAGAAAGGAATCTGAAGGAGGGACAATCCACCAAAATGCATTAGTAATCAAAATGTATCAGATGTAAAAAAAAATGATGTACTGTGAATAGTGAATGATTTGCAATGAATGTATGCCGTGAGTGGTGTATGGGAACAATGTATCAGATCAATGCAGTGTGTAAGCCGTACAAATGATGGTGTGTGAAGAAAAGACTTCATGGCACGAAGTGCAGTTTGAGCGAACTTACTAGAATGCTGTAGATACTGAGTAGGTCCATGCTCGTCTGCAACATCCCTATCACTGAAGCCGTCCTCGCCAGAGACTGACGAGTATATTCAATGGGAGCCTGCAAAAATGATTGAAATCATTAGTACTCGGCAGAATATCAAGTGGAATCGGATGACTGTACAAGGGATGACAGTGTAGTATATACCGGAGTCGAGCCATAACCTCCAACAAGCTCGTGACCAGCTGGAGGAGGAGCAAAGGGAACCTGATAGATCTCTCTAGCTCGCCCTCGAAGTGTCATAGTAGCAGGCAGCACTGGCCATCTAGACCCCTGCCTCTCCTCAGGACCTCTCCTCTTACGAGACCTGGTCGCTCCACCTCTGCCCCTTGTAGCTGGAGCCCTCGCTCCCTCTCCTCCTTGGGCACCAGTCAAAGGCGGCATCAGATGTGTCTGAATGAAGGTCGCGTAGTCGCCCTCGGCATGGAAGCAATCTGTCTCCAACCCTACCATGAACTGGATCACCTGGTCGACGGATAACATGTGTGTCTCCCTCATCGATGGTGGAGGCGCCATCGGCACAAATGGGGCGGGTAACCCCAAAGTCTGACGTACAAAGCGCTCACTCAGAAACCAGGCCCGACAGATCGGCCCCTCGAAGAGGATATGGTACTGAGACATAATCTGGGCAACGCGATACCGATCCCGGAGTCCTGACGGAATCACCTCCCATGGTCGCCATGTAATCTGAGAAAGAGAATCAGCAAGATGATCAATCGTCAAATAACTAAGGCAGGTGCATTGGTTTAATTGAAATAATCCTATTGCAGACTTACCTCGCCCGCCGCAACCGTGTCAAAGTACTGCCGAAAGAACATGAAGCCCTCCCGAGTCCTTGCCCCCGTTATTAGCACGCTAGATGGGATTTCGGAAAAAGTACTACCATCATTGTTGTTCTTAGGAGATAGTTTTTTCTCACTTTCAACTCTAATCCTTCACTGCCTTTTGTACAGTATGGGCATTGAGAGTGTAGTTGATGGGAAGAACAGTGGAAGAACTACTGGTCTACGTGATGCTACGTGCGCTGCTTGTGAAATGGCAGTTGTGTGGATGCAAAACCAGCTTAGGCAGAACCAGACTCAAGATCGTATATTGACCTATGTCAATGAGGTTGAATAATTTAATTAGATTTGTTTTGTTGTGTTTATTAGTTCGCTCTTGGTGTTAACTCTCTGATTTACTTCTAGCTTTGTGAACGACTTCCTAGCCCGATGGGAGAATCGGCTGTTGATTGTGCGAGCATTTCTTCAATGCCTACTGTTTCCTTTACCATTGGCAGTAAAGTTTTTGACCTCCCACCAGAGGTGGTAAGTACAGGCAATGTTTCTTATAATAATTAGGCTATCTGCATCCATTGATATTGTTGTTGCATCTGATCTGAAATGGTGGAGTCGTGAAGATGAGTATGTAGTGCGGCTTCCTGTCGTGTTTACTTTACACATCAAATTCAGAACATTATGCGTTTTGTTGGAGTTGTAACTAATAATACCATAAATTGCTGCAATGTAATATGTTTGTGTCAGATTAATCACATAGCTAAAACACATTATCTTGAAACAAATGTAGGGAGATTAGTTGTTGCATTTGGGTCAGTTAATTACATCATATTATATAATAGGATAATAATCTCTTTGATAAATTTATCCTTTAATTTGTTCACGCATTTATCTGTATTAGCTTATTTTCTTCATTTCCCCCCCCCCACCCCACCCTACCCCCAACAGCATGGTAGTTGAGTGGAACTGGTGATATTCACTCTTCAAATGGTCTCTTTTAGAACTGGTGTACAAATTGTGTTGTATTATTTTGAAAATGGTGACAGCGGCAATGATTAGATGGTGTCAGAGGATGGCCTATGCTATTTTGAGGTTGTCGTTTCATCTTTCTTGCTAATATTTACTTTTAAAATAATATTCCACGGGTGGGGTTTGGGCGGTTACTCTGGGCAAATTTATTTATTTTTATTTGAGCATTTAAAGGATTAGCACTCTTGTATATATCATTGTGTTTTGTGATCCTTAAATTGATTGCTGTGATAGACTTTAGGTTGTGTTCTTTCTGTCTACAAGTTAGTAACCAGCTATGTGTGTCGTTTAAGGGGCAGTTGTGGTTTGTATGTATACCAGATGACAATTGCTACTGCACGGGCTCCCCAGATATTATGCATTCCTGATGCATTACTTTGAGGAATGGTTTAAAAATT